ACCATTTGGCTGTCACCATCGGGCTCCATGAGCTGTAGCTAAGCCAAGTAATGTCCCCATGTCTCCTGGGGACAACTAAGGCAGGGGGTCCATGGGTGGTTTTGATGCCTGAGCCCAAAGGAGAGTTCTGAGGGACTCAGTGGAACCACAGCCTCTCTTGGCATTCAGGGCAGAAGAGAAGAGCCCTCCTTGTCATCATTTTGGAAAGAAAGGCTCCCTGGGGGCGAGCCTCTGGGTGGTCACAAACAGGACCGTCAAACCAAGAGGCATTTATTCACCTAAGTAGCTCTGGTTTAAAAAAAAAAAAAAAAAGTCATCAATTGTGCAGAACACTCAACTCTGTCACCCACTTCTGCCTTGAACCCCAACACCACTGGCTGGGCTCAGAGAAGGGAAGGGACTCGTTCAAGTCACTCAGCAAGTCAGGGCAGGCGGCTGCGTCTGCTGCTGCTCCCTCGGCTTTTCCAGGCAAGAGAAGGCATTAGCCTTGCTGCAGGCACCCAGGGACCTCACTACGGATTAACTACCTGAGGCCGTGCCTCCCCCTCTACCAGCTGACACTGCAGCAACAACTGTAGTTAGGATGAAATAGAGCTGCGGAAAAACCAGCAGAGCCGCGGCCATAAACCATCTCTCTCTGCCAGGAATCACTAGGTGCCTCGCACGGGAGGGGGAGATGACAGTCTCAGGATATGGCAGCTAGAATGCAAGAGAGGAAAGTGAGGGGTCCCTTCTAGGTGCACACTGCACCCTGCGAGGTTAGCAGGGAGACAGGGAGAAAGGATGTTTTGCTAGACAAAGGCCAGGTGCTGTTCCCTAGACTGCAAGGGTGTAGGGGGCAGGGCGCCCAGTCCGTCTGCATGCAGACCATACTTCCCCCATGACATTGGCTGTATTTCTGGAGGAGAGCCCCTTAGTGGCCTCATAATGGAAAAGTTAGGGCTCTGCTATGCTGATATGTCCATCAAATCTGCCCCTGAGGGGAGACATGGTGCCTTCCAGAGCAGAGAACAATGGACACCCAGCTGAGGGTGTTCATGTGGACAAGTGAGCGTTCTCCCAGACTCCGTCAAAGGAAGAGATCAATTTAGAGAATTAGGGGCCAGCCCACTTTGCGTGGCTTCTAGGAGGCATGTACAGTAAATAAGGATTCAAGAAAAGAAGTGTTGCATCGTTCAATTAATTTCAGCCTTGAAGCGCAGTGGCTGGGTGGGGAGGGATTGTAGGGGAGTGTAATCAATACCAAGCATTCAGCTTGCTAACGTGAAGCACATTTCATACAAAGCTGGACATTTTTCTCCTTGTCATACGGAATTATCTTAATTATTGTTTCACGGAACAGCCTTATATAGCATCATCTAGTAGTCCGGGAGGCGGCTCAGAAACTCGTCACTGGAATAATTTATGATTTTTCTTTCTAACATCTTGGTCTTGTTTGATATGCTTGCCATTTCTCCCTGACAGGGAGGTCGATTAAATCACATTTATATTGTAAACGTATGCATTGCTTTTTACCCAAGGCACTGGATGAAGAGATACAGGGGCCTCGAGGGAGGGAGAAGCCAATCCACTTTCATATTGCAAATTTCTGCTGTTCAGAAGAAATGAATGGTTGCCAGGGAGAACTGGGAATTATTTGAGGATGCAAAATGTTATTTTAGAATCCTTTTGAGAGGGTTTTTTCCCTCCCCCACCTCCTCCAGCATTTTCACTTCTCAGGCTGCTAATGGAGGCCAGGACCAGTCTCTATGCAAACGCCAAAGGAATGCACTTCATGGCATTCTTCAGCAGATCGGCCTGTGCCAAATTTTGTGCTGGCCGACCTTAAGCAGGCTGCCTCTTGGCCTCAGTGGAGGATGGGGAACACGTAGAGAAAAAAGGAGATATTCACATTTTGCCAGGCATTTCATCCTCCCCTCTGGGGCTAGATGGGGCCACTCTGGAAGCTGGTAGTTGGATTTGGTGGGGTTTTTGTAAATAACAGAAAGCACTCAAAATGAAGAGGGGAAAGGTCATTAGCAGGGACCAGGAAAAGGGGTGCTGCACCATCATTAACCTAACCGAACTAATTAGGAAACATTCAGGATTTATAAATTATGCAAGACGCTCAATTTATACTTTTTCGAATTCCTACCATAACATAGATAATGAGGGAACATTTACAGTAACAGCGTAACCTAATCAAGAAACCCTTTCATTAGCATGAAATCTTCCAACACGGTGTTTGCGAGCACAACAAATGGAATTATAGATGCCAGGGGAGGCCGGGGGTGAGGGGGGAGGCCGGACTCGGGGAGGGCAGGAGCGGGATGCTGATTTCACATTTGGTAAGTTCTGTGTCTCTAAGAAACCTCCTCCTCCCACCCCTAGTATGAAATTGAGCTTTCCCAGGGCTCGGTCTTGCAAAAGGGCCAGAGAGATCTAGAAGGTCCCTGTGACTTTGGGGTGTGAGCCAGCCTGTGGGTGATTTACAACAGCTCCTCAGCCTTGACCCTCTAATCCTGGAAAACTGATAAGCACGGTGCAGATGAGCCCTCTCCTCAGGTGGAAATACCCCTGGAGGTCATGAGTCAGTCCTGCAGGAGGTGTCGTCCTCCATCAATATTGGACAAGTGCCTGAAGTTGCATTCGCAGTGGTGGCTTTGTCTGGTAAATCTCGCTGCTAGGAGGACAGAGGCAAGGAGCACAATCCAGGTGCCATCAAAGAATCCCAGGACTCAAAGGGACCCCACCACATTATCCACGATCAATGGAGCCAGTTGAATCCCTCGAGTAAGAACGCACTACCTCTGAGGGAAGTGCTTTCCATGCTGAATGGTTATAAAGCCTTTTAAGGCTCTCATACAGAAGTGGTGAAAAGCTGAGGCTTCCAATGACCTCTAGGACTGCTGACCCTTCCAGCAGTGAGTTAAATTCTGGCTCCTGTATCAGTCAGCTCAGGCTGCCATAACAAAATACCACAGACTGGGCAGCTTACACAACTGAAATTTATTCCTCACAGATGGGAGGCTGGGAAGTCCAAGATCAAGGTGCCAACAAGGTAGGTTTCATTCTGAGGCCTCCTTCTGTGGCTCACAATCGCCCGCCATCTCACTGTGAGCTTACATGACCTCTTCTTTGTGTGTACACAGAGAGAGTGAGAGAGAAAGCTCTTTGGTGTCTCTTCTTATAAGGGCACTAATCCCCTCGGGAGGGCCCCACTCTCACGACCTCATCTAACCCTTATTATCTTCCAAAGGCCCTGTCTCCGAGTATCACCACAGGAGGGGTCAGGGCTTCAACAGATGAACTTGAGGAGACACAGACATTCAGCCCATAACACTCCCTGAATGGTACGTCCACCCAGAACATGTGAATGTGACTTTATTTGGAATAAGGATCTTCATAGATGTAATTAAATAAAGGATCTTGAGATGATACTACTCTGGATTACCAAGTGGGCCCTAAACCCAACCAAGACACGGCGGAGCAGGCAATAAGATTAGTGTCGTGAGTCTACAAGCCAAGGAATACCAAGGATTGCTGGCTGTTACCAGAAGCTGGAAGAGACAAAGAAGGATTCTCTTCTAGAGTCTTTGGAGGAAATGTGGCCCTGTCACCTTGATTTTGGACTTCTGGCTTCCAGAACTGTGAGAGAATAAATTTCTGTTGTTTTCAGTCACCCAGTTTACAGTAATTTGTTACAGCAGCTCCAGGAAACTAATATTCTCTCTAAGTGTATTAATCAGGGTTCTCCAGAGAAACAGAACCGATAGGACAGAGAGAGACACACGAAGAGATTTAGCATAAGGAACTGGCTCACGCGATTACCGAGGCTAAGTGCCACAGTCTGCCATCTGCAAGCTGGAGACCCAGGAGAGCTGGTGGTCTAAATGCAGTCTGAATCCAAAGACACAAGAACCAGGAGAACTGATATGGTAAGTTCCAGTCCAAGTCCAAAGGCCTGAGAACCAGAGAGCCGATGGTGCAAGTCTCCAGTCCGAGGGCACAAGAAGATGGATATTTCAGCCCAATCGGGCAGGCGGAAAGAGAGAATTCTCCCTTCCTCCATCTTTTTGTTCTGTTCAGGCCCTCCATGGGTTGGGTGAGGCCCACCCACACTGGGAAGGGCCATCTGCTTTACTGAGTCCACCAATTCAAATACTAATCTCTTCCAGAAACACCCTCACAGACACACCCAGAAATTGTGTTTAACCAAATATCTGGGTGCCCTGTGACTCAGTCAAGTTGACACATAAAATTAAGCATCACACTAAGCCTCAATGTCCATCATCCACAACGGCAACAGTAACAGCGCCCTGCATGCAGTAAGTGCTTCATAAATGTGAGCAGCTGGCATTAGTGGAGCTGAGATCTGCCTCTACGTTCTACCCACTGGTCCTGGTTCTAAACCTCTCGTGCCAGAAGGAGCAACCTGCTCCCCATCTTACCTTCAGAAACTGAAGACGGGGGTATTTTACGCTCAGAGCTAGGTACCCCTCATTCTTTCTACTGCTTCTTATAAGACATAGTTGTACAGTACCTCACTATTCTGGTAGTTGTCTCTTGGGCAAACCAAGGCCAAGCAATGAGATGAACATGGGTGAAATGGAGTGCAACCATTACGTCACTTATTCTAGAACCATTCATTTATTCACTCGTCATTAATTCATGCAAGCACTCACTCATTCATTGAACAAAAAATTTTAAGGATCTCCTAAGCATCAGGACCCAAGCTCGGAGCTCAGGATATAGTAATGAAAAGACAGAGTCCCTGCTCTCATGGAGTTTTTAAACTGGATTGCATTCTACTTCTACCCACCCAGCCAGGACCCCATTGTGTGGGAAAGGGCCCAGTGGGGCAAACCCTGCCTTTGTTCTGAGTTCCTTAAGACCCAAGGGCCTTGTATGAGTCCAAACCCAGGGATCCTTGATTCTGCTTTTCATCAAAGTCTGGCTTCCCTACCACCACAATCTTCCCAGTGCAGTGGGGCTATTTCAAATGCCGTCATGGAGATTACCTTTGCTATAACTGTTCAGAGCAGCATGAGCTTCAATCGCCTGCTCTCTGGTTCTCTGGTGTGGGGAGACTCACGTCAGTGCTGGGAACGTTCTCTCCCACGTCATTGCCCAAGTTGCTATGTTCTCTCCAGGAATTTGCAAACCTCAGCCTGTAAGTTCTGACAGGAGAAGGCCAGGGACAATGGTGTCCTGCTCTACCTTCACAGCCGTGTGGCAGGGATGGTTCCTGGGTTTCTCCTCTTTTAGTTTCACCACTTGCAAAGAAAAGAGAAAGAAGCAAAATGTTTCCAAAATTACTCCCAAATGTGCATCTAAAAATGTTAGGCCGACCCTGGCTGCCAGAGAACTATTCATAGGGTGGCAATATTATGGAGTTTGGTCAGTGAGCATAAATCTCTGGTTTGAGGATGGGGTGATCATGCCCCAGTTTTGGCAAGCTCTCACGAAGACGTTCCTAAACATCCAGCTGTATGGCACTAGAATGGCATGTCTGGAGAATAAGCCAGAGGTTTGGGGGTCAGGTCAAGATAGTACAAATGAGGGGCTGAGGTATTGCAGTTGATGGAAGAAGAGCACCTGAGATCCATGCCCAGCCCAAATTCCCATAAGCCCGCAGAGCCAGTGAGCGGAAAGAGACCTCTCCATTTAATAGATAGGGAACTGAGGCTCCCAGAGGCAGGAGGAGCAATGAGCTGAGAATGAACGGATTGTCGGATTGGATTATTTTTGAGGCTAGATGGAACAATTCAAATGCCACGCCTACCAGTGCGGACAGCAGGACACAATGGTCATCTCCATCCTATGGCAGGGCAAATAGAGCCTGCAGAGGTGATGCCCAGTACTCATCCTGGTAAGTCAGTGTAGAATCAGGTATTTAGACTCTAGTCCATTGCTCTTGCATACACCCCCGTAGCAGCCTCTTCACTCCCCAGTCTGGGTTGAGCTTGAATACGTGCCTAGCTCTGAAGGAGATAAGAAAAGTCATGCATCCACATCTAGAAGTCACATCTGTCAACTTAAAAAGCAAATTTGCCTGTTATTTTATCTCAAAGTGAGTTTATTCGGGAATAGGCAAAAGAATTGCAATTTGGAGCGTGCATGTTATGGCAAACCGTTGGCAAAACCGGCAAACAAAGAAGGGGAGCTGCTTTTATAGAGAAAAGGGAGAGTAGGGAGGGGCTGTTCTAAAGAAAAGTTCATTGGGGGGAAGTAACAGTTCAAGGCAGCAACGGCTTCTCATTGGCTGGGCTGTTGCCAGGGGGAAAGAGAAATCTTCTTTCAGTAGTAAAGTAGTTTTGCTTCCTGTCCAAGTGCTAACTTTCAGCCTCTTCCCGATTGGTGTAACTGATGATGTATGATAGGGCCTGAGGGCTCCCCCTACAGGCCTTCCAACTCCAACTTAGTTAAGGTTCTTTTTATTAATTTCCGCACATCTTAGATATTTCATGACCATAAGCAAAAATTCAAGGAGAAATATATGTTTTGAATGCATCACTTTAGCATCTAAGACTTAATAAGAGTAAGAGGTGAGAGTGTGGGGTGAGAGGGAGTACAAAGAACAAGAGAGGAAGGCAGAGCCAATGTGTGGGGAGAAGCAGAAATACCTTCACTGAAAGAAGGGACTCCCCTCAGCTCCTTATTAAATACAATTACCCTTTAATCTGAGCTCCCCTGAGGCTCCCCTGGGGTGAAAGTCCTGTTTCAGGCGCTCCATGAAAGCCTTGTATCATTCAGTAAACCTTTTCCAAGAGGTGCTTGAGCAAGCCTCTATTCTTGGCAATTAAATGAACCCAACTGAAGGTTTCTGCGACCATCTCCCCAACCTTCCCTTGTCACTGCACAGGTTTCATCCTTTCTTCCTCCCAGATGTGCATGAGCATCGATGTTCCAAGGTTCAGCCCTCTCCTATGGTGTCTGTGTCATGGCCACAGAAACACCCAGATCCACCCCAAAAGTCATTAGCTGCAATGCTTTATTGACAGCAACAACTTACTCAGGTCAAACTCACTTGATGGTGAGATGCTAGTTGGTGCCCTGTGGCGGACACACTCTGTGCTATTGAATCTTTGTTACAGGCCAGGGATGCAAAGGTAGACAACACTGAAGATAGAACAGAGGGGCAAGCAGAGTTCACTGGGGACCAGAAGAGACACCAGACAGAGGAGTCAAGGAGGCTTCCCAGAGGGGAGGCCACTGAGCTGGACCTTGATGGAATGTCCACTGGTAGGAAGGGAGGGGAGGGCAATGGGAATGGTATAAGGTAAGGGTACAGGGCCATAAACGCATCTAGATCATTTGGAGAATGCTGATATGTCCTACTGATCTCAGCCAGTCTCATCAGCTATCAGTCATGGCCACTAATACCTCTAGTGTTGTGGATGGTAGGAGATAGGGAGAAGTCCAGACATATTTCTTTTCAAATTTCCTGCTTTGCTCCTTTCAGTAAAAGGCCAATGATGTCATCAGATGTTATTATTGTAAGATGAGATATCCTGGGAGGGAGCTTTCTCCACATTTCACAGATGAGGCACGTGTGGCGCAGAAAAGTGAAGTAATTTACCTGAGGTCACCCAGCAAGAAAATGAAACAGCCATGACAAGGATCCATTTTTGCTGATCAAAGACCCCTGGCATCTTCCACTAGACCCTTCTCAGTACAGCCAGCTGTGAAATCTTTTGATTCTTTCCCCAGTAGACTCTATAACAAGGTCTTCCAGGGCCTGTCCTTTTATTATTTTTAATGCTGTTTACATATGAGAGACAGACAAGATACTCAAGGCGGCCAGAAGGTACAAAAGGGCACCAGGTCAAATTTAAAGCCCCTGGGGGCCACACTGCTCTTTCCGTCCCTTTCTACCTCTCCACCAAACACCTCTGATTGCTAGGAAAATAATTGACTACCATCTGACTCCCAGCTGAGGGCTGAGGCTGGGTCAGAGAATTGATGGCCTCTCCTGGCAGTGATAGAGGGGCTAGAGGCAGCGAAGGTGAGAAATGAAATTTCACAGAGGGGTTGAAGATGTGATAGGGGAGGGGACAAGCTGCAGAGGAGAGGAGACACCATGGTTGCAGGAGGAAGGAGAGACTAGTTTGGGGAGCCACTGAGGGCTGGAGGCAGGCTTCCACAGGCAAGCGCGGGGCTCCATGGAGCCCATGGGGAAGCGAACAATCTCTGTTGGTTTCTACAGAGAGTTCCTTCTTAGAGGACTAGCCTTTCCCCCTTCTAAGTCTCCATGCCCTTTAAACTCAGCTCATCTCCCCCAGGAAGGCTTCCTTGACTCCCCTCAAGGCTGAGCTATAAACTCCTCCTCTCCTACAATCTCATATCATCCCTCTAGCTCAGCCCTTATGGCTTGATACTGGGACGGTGTGTGTCTGTGTTTCTATGTGTGTGTGTGTGTATTTGTTTACATAAGCATGTGTTTGTGTGTGTTGTCTGTGGATGTGTTATTCTGTGCTTGTGTGTATGTGCATTCGTGTATGCATGTGTGTTTGTGCACATATGTGTATGTTTGTGTCTGTCTGCTTGTGTGTGTGTGCCAGTTCCCCACTGGATATGGAGTGCTTGAGGGCAGGCACCATACAGATGGCGCTTCTCTTTCCTCAGGGCCTGGCCCCCAGTAAAATCTCAACATACGCAGGTTGAATGAGTGAATGAATGAACTGAATGAATGAACTAACAAATGAACTATCTTAGGGACACAACTTGGAGGACAGGGACCTGCTTCGTTGACTGTCTGTCCACCCAGCTAGGATCAAGCCTCCTTGAGGGTAGGGATTGGTCCAGATGAGCACCACTGTGAGCCCAGTGTCTAGAGCAGGGTTTCTCAACCTCAGCGTTACTGATGTTTGAGGCCAGATAATTCTTCGTTGCGAGGACTGTCGTGTGCACTGTGGGATGTTTAGCAGCATCTCTGGCCTCTACCCACCAGATGCCAATAGTAGCCCCGCCCCTCAGTTGTGACAATCAAAAATGTCTCCAGACATTGCCAAATGTCCGCTGGAGGGCAAAATAGCCCCAAGTTGAGAAATTTGGGCCTAGAGGGATGCTTGGCACAGAGTTAGCACCAACTAATATTATTGACTAGCTGACCTTTCAAAGCCTTACAGCTATCTCTGGCTTGCCCAGGATGACTGCCAGCCCTGCGGCATTGACACCACTGTCAAGGCTGAAAATACCAGGAGAGTGTGAGAGCAGGACTTCTGGTGCCCCCTCTGCAGGAGCAGTGGCCAGCATTGCAAGAGGACAAGCTGTGGAATCTGGGCTCGCTGCGTTCCCCCCTGCAGGCAGGAGCCATCTTTAACATCCTCCCCTCCCAGGCCTGAGATGTTAACCATGTCACTTCCTAACCATCTGCTCAGCACCCATGCACCTACCAGGCATTGGATTCCAGTTCCTGAACAAAGAATAACCGTCTCTCATGGCTCCTCTGTGGAGCCCATTTATCCAGCCGTGCCTGGGCTAACCCCCAGCTCCCGCATGAACTCAGTTAAACTAGACCAAATCTTCTGGCATTTTTTCCAAAATGGCCTCCTACATAGTCTCATGAAGATGCTCCCAAATTCTCCAACGCCCTAAGCCACAGTGGGTGATAAAGGACGTGAGTTGGAGGTTCTTTACTGGTGGGAGAATTACGACTGTGTATGTGCGTGTGTCCCATCTACCTGGGTTACAGGGCTGAGACCAGAATCTGGTGAAGGCTGCTAAGACAATGTCCCAGGGGTCTTGGTGAGAGATGGGGGCAGGGAGAGAGTTACAACTTGGCCAAGGCAGACAATTGCAGATATATAAGGTCGAACGAATCTGGGCATGTTTCAAAGATGGGACCACCCACCAAGAAAAGCAGAGAACACGAGAAGCCCAGAGTGCTCAGGGGCTTTCTTATGCAGACCCTGCACCAATTGGCATCAGCACCCTGGGCACTCTTACTGCAACCCCTATAAGAACAACAATGGTAATCATTACAGGGCTGACACAGAGAGGACGTGTGAAGACGTGTTCAACTGAAGCCACTGTTTTTTTCTTTGACTACTTTGTTAGTGTCTCAAAGACAGTGACCTGGCACCGTATGTTTCATTATCCTCACAATGCCTTGCATGTAGCACAGAGTAAGTACTGTGCCTTTGTAGCTGATGGTTAAGACAATGATGCACGTTGACTTAGAAACGTGGACTTTCCGATAAAACAGTGTGGCCCCTTTGGTTCTCCGGCTTCAGAGCAGGTCTGCCTGCTGGTTGCCAGGAGACTAGAACCAAGAGGCAGCTCTGACCACTCTTCCATTCAACACATAATCCTGAGAACCCCTGGGTCACCCCAACCCTGCCATACACATCCATGCTCTACAGGCACTGGGAATATCTGGTAATGAGACAGAGAGGTTTCTTTCCCTCATAGAGCTAAACAAGACCCAGAGCCCTAGGGACACAGTCACCATTTGGGAGGGAGGGTGGATGGAAGAAGGGCCCGGAAGTCACCGGCAGGGTGAGTACACAGCAATCCTCATGCATGGAATTGGTATACACGCCCATCCCTCTCTCTCAAGCTCCCTAAAAGCACAGCCTGCACACTGCTGGCCCAGGACTCCTGCTCCCACCCTGCTTGCTGTGCTCAGGGTGCAGACCCTCGGCAGTCTTCTCTAGCCTCCAGTGGACTGACCCGCCCACATCACAGGCTGCCCTCAGCCTAAGCCATGTGTTTATCCAACCAGAAGTCCCCTGCTGTGGCACTAGGGACTCGCCAGTGACCACAATAACCTACAGAGCCTCCGGTCCCTAAGATGGCCTTAGCTGCAAAGGACCCGCACACAGAACTATATCCCCTCTCTAGACAATCTGAATAGACCTATAACAAACGAAGAGGTTGAATCGGCAATTTTAAAATGACTTCACAAAGACGATCTCAGGCCCTGAGAGCTTCT